GCCAAGATATTCCTTCTATCTGGAACTTCTGTTTCAGCTAAATTATGGGTAACAAGTATCTCACATATAAGAAAGTCATAAACTAGTAGCATCTTGTGAATTATCAGAGTCGACAGGTACACTTATATCCTTTAGTTTATGGCATTGGGAAGGTGATAGTTCAAGAAACTTTTCAAAACTTGAGAATTCATCTTAGAAAATTCAACTGTTGGCTATTGCTAGTTTTTCCTAGCGGTTCCTATGTTCCTACCCTTCTTTGCATAACTTAATTCTTGGAAGGATTGAGATGTATGCCTGAATTATTTTTGACTTTCAGGGCCCTGCTAGTTGGAGGATGCTGTATGGTATGGATGTCAATACTGAGAAAGGTGTTTTACTTGTAGCAGATAATTTTGGATACCTCTACTTGTGAGTACCTATAGCCAAATCCTTTTATATTCTGCTCTTCTTTTTTTATAATGGTTTATCTCTAGTAGGCTACATGATGGGAAACTTTATTACATAATTTTTTTCCCTCTGATACCAATAGAAAGGTGTTCTTGTAGCAGATAATTTTTTCTTTACACAAGTCTATTTGTTTCCCTCTGATACAAAAAGGTTGGATGTGCGGTCAAATGTGAAAATTGGTGAACCAATTTTAGTACATAAGAAAGGAAGCAAGGTTGTTGGGCTTCACTGCAATCCTGTACAACCAGATGTTCTTCTAAGCTGTGGCAATGACCATTTTGTGAGTATTGTAGTTCATGTTATTGCATCCCTAAATTCTTTATGATTGATTTTAGTATGAATTTCTGATCAGGACTTCTATTATATTTCTTATAACAACGAAAGAGCAATAAATCTTCCCTACGTGTATGATCTCTAGGCTCGAATTTGGGATGCTAGAAGGTTAGGTACTGAATCTTGCCTCGCCAGTCTTGCTCATGGACGTGTTGTGAACTCTGCATATTTCTCACCGCTGACCGGGAACAAAATCTTGACAACATCTCAAGACAACCGCATTAGAGTGTGGGATTCAATTTTTGGCAATTTGGAATACCCAAGTAGAGAGATTGTCCACAGCCATGATTTTAATCGTCACTTGACTCCTTTCCGAGCTGAGTGGGATCCAAAGGTTGTTTTCTGTTTCTGGTGTACATACTTTACAAATGCTTAGCTGGTTCAATATGTCTTAATTTCTTATGCTCAGGGAGGGGATCAATTTGCCTGTTTTGTATCTTGTTTTATAGGAATAAGCCAATTATTGCATTTATTTTTTTCATATATGAGCTGCATATGCTTCTAACTCTTTTAGTGTGGCAATGTTGTTTAGGATCCCTCTGAATCGCTTGTGGTTATTGGTCGTTACATAAGTGAGAACTATGATGGGGTTGCATTACATCCTATTGACTTTATAGACACGAGTACTGGTAAGCTTGTGGCTGAAGTAATAGACACAGATGTAACAACAATCAGCCCTGTGAACAAGCTTCATCCTCAAGATCATATTTTGGCAACGGGGAGTTCAAGGTTTGTTGCTTTTCTTTCCTTCTTCAACACTGATCTTCCATTTGGGTGGTGCATAACTGAGCAACATTTTGATACATCTTCCTTCTTCCCTCTCCTACCTTCTCAAGGGAAGATGCATTCATGCATATCCTTGGTGCCACCATCTTTGCTTGACTTGAAATATGTTAACAGTTGTCAGCTCAAATTAATTCACCTTGCAGGACTCTGTTAATTTGGAAAGCAAGGCAGGAAGATTGGGAAGCGAAGAAGCAACCAGAGAAGAGGCCAAAGCAGTTCATATTTAGGAGGAATGAGAAGAAGTCTAATGGGAAATTTGACAGCGACAGTGGTGGTGATTCTGACTATGACTCCAATGGGAAAAAACGCAAAGCCAAGAAATGCCAAGGTAAATACAAAAAGCTGGTCTGTTGAAAGAGGCTTCTACTCCCTAAAGACTGCCTAAATTTAGGATTCTGTGTTTCCCATCTGGTCTTTTGCTTGACCGCATTTTGTTCACCCATGTTTTTGATTTATAGCACAATAGGCAACTTTTTTGCAGTCTGTAAATATTTATCTCCGTAGGACATCAGTTTTGAAGTTTGCTCGATATGGTCATGACCATTTTGGAGTCCACAAGTTATTCCAGTCCTGTAAAATCAAACACCTTTTCTCTCGTCCTCCTGTAATAGTATAGAAAAATCTCGTGGGAGTTCATTTTGTCATGCTTGTTCATATTTTTACGTCCATGATGAGGGAAGTCCATATTTTTAATATCTGATTTAAAATAAAAGGTAACATAAGATTTTAGAAGTTATCATTGCAAGTAGTTCTGATCATGATTGGTGATAAGGCATGTTTTGCCCCGTGGACACACATCACAGCTAATGTCATACGCCACGTCTGTTTTGCCCCACGGACACGTTACAACTGATGTCGCACGCCACGTCAAAACTCGTCCCCGAAGACACTGTTCGACATGCCTGGTCCTGACAATCTCAGGACGACAACGCCCCACACACTAAGTCGGAATGTATACTAATGTCGTGCTATGTCCATCATGCCAATCCATATACGATCGATTTTCTCACGCCAGTATAAAGACCTCTATGTCAGCCTCCAGAGGGGGGAGAAAAAAAAATAATACCACCCACAACTGACTTGCGCGTCGGAGGGGTCAAAGTCAAGAATCACCCGACGACGGCCTTTTTTGCAGGGAAGCGATCACCCACGAGCCACGAGCACCTCACCCGGAAATCGTCATCCAGTGAACGAGGGCGAGCCATCACCTATCCCGGGAACGGAGAGACGCAGCTCGACGCAGATGGTGCTCGGACCAAGAAACGTTGACTAACACCCCATCGCGAAGGCCCGACTTACCTCAATGTCCAGCTCAGCCAACAGAGAACTCCCAACATCGATCCGTGGACCTAACCGTGCTGACTCATCAGCCACGACCCATTTGTTCCCCAACAATTAGAATCCAAGCTGAATCCATTTGGTGATTTATGGTTTCAAATTGAATTAAAATCAGATTTGAATGATTTAATTGCGGTTCTTGATTTTTTTTTAAAAAAAAATTAATTTTGAAAATCAAATCAGGTATATAAATTTTTTTCATTATTATAAATTATTTTTAATTAAAAATAAAAAAAATAGATGATTCATCCTTGTACGATTTAAGTCCCAGAATTTGAGAACCGAAATGGGGTCAGACGTACCCAAAGGTAACATTCCCATGCAGAGCAGTCTGGCGTAGAATTTGCTGCCCGTATATAATCTACAATGGGCGATGAGGACGCGCTTCACATCATTTGCGCGTTGGGAGAACAAGCAGCGAACCTCGCGTGTGATTTGACCGCGTCGGGCGGGGATGCGTTGTTCCTCTGATTCAATCGTGCGTGCTGTGATGAGCTCGCTCGCCCGATCTGCGCGCGCGCACGCGTGCGTTGCGCCCGCGTCCGAAGTCCGAAGCCCGAAACAACAAGACCGTCTCCTCCCCCCCCCCTTCTTGCCGCAAGCGTATGCACGGCGGGGTAGTTAGGTCATTCCACGCCCTGATTTCCGAAACGCCCAGAATTCCAACGGCCTCACCGTTTGAGATTCCCATCGCCTTATATAATGGCCTCCCCTCCCCCTCCTCGTCTTTCGACCTCGATCCGAAAGGAGGGAAAGAGAGAGGAGCGAAGCGATATGGCCGCCAGTACCGGTAGCGAGTTCTTCGAGATTGACATGGAGGAGGCGGGCGAACGCTTCGAGCAGCGGAGATCCGGACTGGACGCCGCGCTCGAGGAACGGGTTGTGGCGGAGGACGAGGAAGAGCTCATGTGGGCGGCCGTGGAGCGGCTGCCGTCAGTCAAGCGCCACAATTTCGCCGTCGTGCGCCGGGACTCCCGATCCTCCTCCCGCCACGGGCCGGCGCCTCCGTTCGAGCTGGTCGACGTCAGGCGGCTCGACCGCGCCGCCCGTGAGCGGGTGCTGCATAAGGCTTTCGCCACCAACGACCAGGACAATTACAATCTCCTTGCCGGCATCAAAGGCCGGTTCGATAGGTATACCGCCCACCCCATCTGGCCTTGCCCTGCCTTCACCTGCCATCAATGGCTTATAATTGCTTTCACGGGTTTCTTTCTTTGAGCAAGATCAAGATCAAGATCGCAACTCTTCTCCCCCCCGCATCTTCTTTTGGGTAGATTCTGACATGTGATGGCATTGACGCCTCGGTCATATCACGTTTAGTGCAGTAGTATTAAGTGTGTTTGTGTGCATTGCTGATGGCGTGTGTATCAATGCCTAGTTTACTGCAAGGCAGATTTTAGTTGGTTCACCAAATGTATCACGACGGGTTTGATTGATTGATTTCGTCCCTTCAAACTAAACAGTGTAGGGTTGGACGTTCCCAAAGTGGAGGTGACGTTCCAGAATCTCACCGTCTCTGCAGAAGTATACACCGGTCACAGGGCTTTGCCTACTCTGACTAACTTTGTCCGCGACGCTATTGAGGTACATTGCTATCTCACTTAACATCAACAACGCAATAGAATAGTTGTTTTGGGCTTACAATGTGAATCGAATGTAGCGTTTCTTTTTTAGCTTAATACTTCTTGTTTTGTAAATTAAAAACAAAAGAAACTGGTTATAGCTTCGAAATCATCAGAAATTGAAGTTAAATTCTTGAACATTCGAACTGTGCTTGGAACACGTCGCTCTATTTTTATTTTTTTTCAACATAAAAATAGATGAAAAGATAAGTAAATTCATGATATATTATTGTTCGAGCATGAACTACTATCGATTCTTTACTCTTTTGGATCCACAAAATCTGGTGAAAGAACACTTGGGTCTTCTTTTAACAACAGTGGCATGCCATCTTAACGGACTTTTGTAATCTCTCCTTAATTTGCCTTCGTATTTTACGTTCTATTTGGCTTATTACAAGCGACCAAACAATTTGTTTTGCTTTCCATGCAGGGGGTTTTTACTTCCTTAGGATTACTCCGACCAAAAAAACATACTCTCACCATTTTGGACAACGTTAGCGGTGTCATAAAACCAGGAAGGTAAGAATATATTACTCTGCCTTTTTTACCATGATAATCATCAAACCATGCCTGACTATGAACTACGTGACACTCGGATTGATTTTGGTTAATTTGTGGTGAACTGATATTTCTATGTCCATGTTTAACTAGTCTGTTGGCTGTTTTGGCAGAATGACACTGCTATTAGGACCTCCTGGTTCTGGCAAAACCACGCTACACTTGGCTCTAGCTGGTAAACTTGATTCTAACTTAAAGGTGATAATCTTTCCTTCTAATCTGATTAAATTTTTCTATCTCCATGTCTTACACAGCATGGTGACCCATGTTGTCTAGAGACATAATGCATCTACTGTACAGTTTCAAAATGACATTAAGTGAAACATCATGAGGAACTGTATACTGATTCATCCGGTTCCTTGCATCATAAATTCTTCAAAAGTAATAGGTTAAGGTGACAGCAAGCACCTAAGTGGATTATTTTGAAAATTTCTATTTTTTCTTTCCAGATAATTTAGTTTACTGAAAAACACGTGTTGTATGGTGCACAATAAGTCGCTTTCCATTTCCCTATTTTTTTGGGATAAAGGAAATTGTTTTCAGCGTTCAACTCAACTGTCATAAAGATCAAATTTTGCATGTGCATTTTAACTGAAATAGGCCAGCTATTAAATCTTCGATGGAAATATTTTTTACCTGTTTCATTGGGTTATCTATCATTGACAACTTCTTCTGTCAGCTATCCTTGCTTCTCTGGTTCTCTTTCAGTTACTCTCTCATTTACGAGCTTGCTGAATCATATAGTTTAGACATGCAAGCTTGTCTTCACGGTGAGGCTGTAGCATTTCTATAGGTTTGAACTTTAAGTTAGAGTTTTTTTGGATCTTATATTTCGAGCCAATGATGAGGTTCTGTACTATATTTAACAAAACTGGTTTCCCAAATTTTTTAAATAAACTGTTTCTGATAGTGATATATCAGACATTATCATGATCAGAACAGAATTATCTATTCCCTTGAATGATAGATCTGCAGGCTGACCAACGGATGCTCAAGAGTAGGTGACATTAGACATAGACGATTTTCTGAAGTTTGGGAAACTATATTGTAGGATTTATATATACATTCATGTTTGGGAAACTATATTGTAGGATTCTGCCATGGTGGATAAGGATTCAGAATGTTGTTCGAGAAAATGGCTAGCTTAATTATCTCATACAATTGTTTGAGTCAAGTCATTCAATATTGAGTAATCTATCATACTAAAAAAAAATTAAGTAGTACTTCTCCAAGTAGAGAAGATAAAAAACTGTGCAACGAGTTATATTGTACCAGATTTGCTCTTTCACTTCCAAGTTGCACACTAAAATTGAATGCAGCCAAACAGTGAAGAGCCTTGAAAATAATTGCAACAAAGTAACAAGCACTTGCTATATTTGGATTTTGTGGAAATAAATTGGAGGCCAAAAATAAGTCACATTAAGAATATTTTGTGACTTACAGTACTTAAGAATCTCCACCATTACTTTGCAGCAGTGGTCTCATTCGGTTTTATTCTCGCGCATAACATTTTAATTGGTAAATTATTCTAATACGAAATTTATCTTATTTCCCTTCCCATTGGGTATGTGATGTACGAGTCACTCTCTCTATTCAGTCTTCACTTGCCCATTTACCATTTTGAACTTATTATTAAAGGTACACTTCCATGTACTGTAACACAATCCATCTTTAAATTTTATTTCAATGTTTCCTCTATAGTCTTGTTCTATAGTGAAGTTGTCAAGTTGCTATAAAATATTTTGATAACCATTTGGTTCAACTATATGCAAATTTGTGGAAAACAAGGCCATGTTACAAACAAATTTATATGGAATGAACATTTCTTACAATAAATGTCTTGGAGGTATGCTTGTGGGGTTCTTTTGAACAAATTGATAATTGATATGTTTTTCATATTAATTTCCTAGTGTATGTTTTGTAGCAAGATACCGATTTAAGAGGTTGTATATTAGAAATGATGACTGAAAGTTTGTCTCCAGTCTATCAGACTAGATGATAGTAATTAGAACAAAACATTCCAGATTAAAAGTATGTTTCTGCAAATAATCTAAGATAAGGAAGTGAGATCGAACACCATTTCCATGGCAATGGTACTGAAATGCAAGTCATTTCAGTCATCTTGTTGTACTTAAGTAAGTGTTATGGCTGCTTCTCATTTTAACTCTCTTCATTATATATCCTTTTTCATTAAAGATCAAATTCTTGCAACTTCATTGCTAACTCCAATTCTTCTTCTGGTTTAAGATCATAACCTCTGGAACTTGAAGATAAAATCCACACTAGGTGCACACACAATTTTGGTCACATCTGTGTCCATTGTAATTTATAGGATGTTTGGCTAACTAAATGGGGCTAGCTTCCTTTCAATATGGTGCATGACATGCTGTTTGTGTTTTCTTGCATTAACCAAGAATTTTATGGACTGTCTATGTGAACTTGCCTAATTTAAATGGGTTTTTCCCCCATTTAGATATGTTCTGTAAGATGCAAATTGCAAATCAAGTCCTAATTTAGGCAAAAACAATATAAGCCTGTTTTATTTCTTGTCAGAGAAGTGGAGATGTGAAGTACAACGGTTGCCGGCTTGATAAATTCGTTGTGCAACGAACATCTGCCTACATCAGCCAGACAGATAATCATATAGGGGAGTTGACCGTTCGAGAAACCCTGGATTTTGCAGCAAGATGTCAGGGTGCGAGCAACAACTGGGCAGGTAGTTTGCCTACTTGATAAGAGTAAATATATTATGATCCTGTCTTGTTAAAAGAATTTCTTAATAGTTAATACTACATACTTTTTCTATTTAACAATAGCTTGTGGTGATGCTTCCATCCATTTTTCTCCATACGTCAAAGCCTTTGACAACTAATATTCATTAGAATCTTTCAAACTTTGGAAACTACTTTCCCAATTGGTCACTAAGTTGTATGCTTGCAGATAGATTCAATTGCTTATCTTCCACGATAAATTCTACATTCTAATGGTGATTTCGTTGTATGAAATATATATGTATACATATCATTCTTCATGAGACACATAATTACATAATATAGGAGATTGATATTTTTAACTAATTAAAGCATTACACTGTCTGCTGCAAAATTGATGTAAACTTTGCTTCATTATTCCTCATGTCCCATCTGATACAATCTTTTATAGAAATCTATTAATAGATGATCGACTATATGCTTTTGATATAGTTAAAACTAATCTCCGTCCTCGACCGTGGATGGGGGCTCATAAACCAAACCTTCGAGTCTCCCTGATCATATACCATAGTCAAGGTTTAGTAAAGAAAGATAATCCTTGCCTGTGTGAAGAAAACCTTGCAAAGAAGTTTTAGAGTAGAACTATCTAAAATGAGCATCGTTTAAGAAAACTTTTCTTCACTTGAGCATGAAACCAACTCTACCCACCAATGAAATCAAATCATCCTAACTTAAAGCTGATCCAGTGACTGACGTAGGGTAAGTGGGCGTTCTCATATGATGGACTGAAGTGGGCAAGCTCATATTCCCGTAGCTAAATTTGATTGATTGATTCTGCTACTTGTAGGGATTTTTCATTTCTTTTTGGTGATGTGTGGATTGTGCTACTAGCTATTGTAAGTTGCAACTAGTAGCTTTGCTTTTATCAGTAACACTAGCATTTATGATGTGGTTCCTTTTTTGAACCCTGAGCTTTTGCTTTGGGAGAAAAACGTAGAGAATATCCCACCTCTGCATGGTTTACTCAAGGTAGAGACTATATTTTATTAGCTATTGTAAGTTGTAACTAGTGGCTTTGCTTTTATCAGTAAGACTAGCATTTATGATGTGGTTCCTTTTATATTGAACAAATAATTTTAATGAATGTGGAGGATTGAAGCTGACTTTGAACCTTGAGCCAATGTTCACCATACTGTAGTGTACTGCTCAGTATGGGCGGTACGCACCGATCCGGTAGGAGATTGCTATCGATGTCAATAGCTAGGTACTGCTCACCATACTGTACTGTATCATATGTATGTTTGGTACAGCTCGGTACGCACCATATCAATAGCTAGTTGATACACCTGTACAGATCGGTAAGGCAAACCATGTCCTGAGCTTTTGCTTTGGGAGAAAAACATAGAGAACATCTCACCTCTGCATGGTTTACTGGAGGCAGAGACTAGCTTTTGTTTCCATAACATGCCTTTTCATGGATCATCCCACTGCAAAAGTAGGCTTAAACTAGAAGTGTAGGTACTAATGTATCTCCTATCTTGACAAGAGTCATTTGATACACTAGGCTTTCTGTTGTTTGGCAACTCAGTTGTTCACTAAAACAAATATTTAGTAAATCATATGTATGTTTTGTCTTGTTTGTTGAGTTTCTAGTTGCTTGGTTCAGGAGACTAGACAAACCTTAAAGTTCTTCCCATGCCATACCATGCAATCTGCTTATGTTTCTTCTATATTTCATATTGGTGGTTCCTGGTGATCTTTCAAGACATAGGCTGAATGGACATGCTTGTCTGTGCCATATTACCACCAGTCCACCCTAGCCATGGCACTTATTTCTTTCAATTATATATATTTGTCCAAAGACAACTAAGGCTCATGCCCAGTGGTTGGGCTTTTCTATATTTTGTTTTGTCACCTGTAATCCCTCAATATATGTTTAGGTTCTTTAATGTTGGGAGGCTCAACATAGATTGACAAAATCCAATTGTACATGCTGTTACTGGTTTTAAAATGTAGTTGGTTCTCTGACCAGTCAGATATATGTCCATATGCATTTACATACTGACTTATCTGCAAGCAATACTCATCTCTTCTTGTTTTTTCTTGCTCATTCTTTAGAGCATTTGAAAGATTTAGAAAAGCTTGAAAAGGAGAAAAACATCCGTCCAACTCCGGAAATTGATGCATTTATGAAGGTCAATTTATTGTTTTTGCTAAACAGCTTAAATCAGAATCAATTTACAATATATTCTTTTATCAAATTTACTTTGTTGGTAAAATTGGATCAACAGGTTGCTTCAGTAAAAGGTGAAAACAACAACCTTGCAACTGAGTATACCTTGAAGGTTCTCGGCATTGATGTCTGTGCAGATACTCTGGTCGGTAGTGATATGTTCAGGGGTGTTTCAGGTGGTCAGAAAAAACGTGTAACAACAGGTTAAAATTTAACTTTTTTTTTAATTGCAGTAGCTGTTAGGGTAATTTGTCTCCTCCACATTTTGGATACTTGCCACAGAATTCAAAATGATTGCTTTTCCAGGTTTTGCTATGGACTTCAATTATTCATTATAGTGTCAGTCATGAGTGTATGTCACAATAGTATTGGTTAATTTTAACTGCCTGCAACTTTTCTAGCTCTCTACTCTGTTGGACCATCTTTTCATATCAATTAAAATATTTGAATCACTAAATGACACATGCCAAGGAAAAAACTTTGACACCCCTTGTACTCATGTACAACTTGTGTAACTATGTAAGGTCACCAACATTGTATGTAACCATACTGTGGTGAAGATATTGATTGTCATGACCCCTATTGTTCTCACACCAGTGATTCCTTTCTAAAATGTGTCCTTTATTATATCCATTTGCACTTCCGAATATGGAGATTTTGTGATGTGCCTTCTCTAAATAAATAAACCATTACGAAATTTATCATCTTGTCTCAACTATGTACAATAGATTTTTCATGCAGTCTATATCATGATTTTTTTCTTACAGTTAATTATTGCTATATGTTCAAGTTTACGTTAGTATTTCTTACTCCAATAACTCTTTGTGCTTGTATGGTTATCTAAGCCGAAACAAAAATGATTGTCAAAGGAATTTTTACCTTTTTTATTCTATTTTTATGAAATATATATCTTGCTCATGTTAAATATCTAGATGTTTAATTAAGTCATGATTTTCAGAATTACATAGTTTCTTGACCTTTTCTCTGCTTGATTTTGAATCAACTGAACTACCAAATTTGTATAATTTGTTAATCACTCATTTGCTTGTGGATATATTTTGATGTGAAGATTTAATGAATGAAATGTCCGACAGATTCTAGTTAACTAGAAAGCACTCAGAGATTGCATGCTAATCAGGTTTAATGAATGAAATATCCAACAGATTCTAGTTAACAAAAAAAGCACTCAGAGATTCCATGCTAATCAGGTGGTACACAATGACAATTCTTATTTACATAAATCTATATAGAAAAATATGAGTTCCTTTTACTTAAATTAGGTCTTAATTTTACCAACTTGGATGAAGATGTAAGGTCCTTTTTCCAATGTAGCAGTAGTTGGCAAGAAAGATAACAACTACAATCTTTTCACAATTTACAAAAATATATTTACAATGTCATGGAGTCATTCAGACAGCCTCTGTTCAAAGAAGTGTGAATTCCGCTGACATTAGAACTCGCCTGAGTCTTTCTATTGTCAAGCGAGACATCATTTGCCACTGGACTGGACAGATTGGTTGCTGATTATTCCTTATACTTGGTTCTATTTACAATGCAGGAGAGATGATAGTTGGACCAAGAAAAACCCTTTTCATGGATGAAATATCAACAGGACTTGACAGCTCCACAACATATCAAATCGTCAAATGCATGCTGAACTTTGTTCATCAAATGGAGGCCACTGTGCTTATGTCTCTCCTTCAGCCTGCACCTGAGACATTTGATCTTTTTGATGATCTAATATTATTGGCTGAAGGACATATCATATATCATGGGCCCAGAGAAAAAGTTTTGGAGTTCTTTGAAACACTAGGATTTTTTATGCCATCTCGTAAAGGGGTGGCGGATTTTCTCCAGGAGGTATGTATATTTATTCCCTGAATATCTACTGAAAATCCTATAGTTAATTTAACTTTTTCACAGGTTACCTCTAGAAAGGATCAAAAACAGTATTGGTCTGATCATTCCAAACCATATGTTTTTGTTCCCGCTTCAAGAATTGCTCAGACATTCAGAGAATCTGAATATGGAAGTTCTGTCCGATCCAATCTTTTGGTCCCTAATGACGATAAAGGGTTTCTTCCTTCAGCTCTTGCAAGAACAAATTTTGCTATATCAAAGCAGGACCTCCTCAAAGCATGCTTTTCTCGTGAAGTATTGCTTATCAGTCGGCATCGGTTCCTCTACATTTTTAGAACATGTCAAGTATGCTTTTCAGCTTTTTTAACCACATAGTTTTTGCATAGATTTTCTTCTCTTTGTGATGTTATACTTTGAAAATTGTACACTAAAAAATGGTACATATATGACTGTTAAGAGAGAAGGGAAAAAAAAAAAAGAACATAAGGACACTGGGTAAATTCATCAACACTCCGAATTATATTTTTAAAAATTCTCGTTTAAGAGTGGGTTTTTGCTTAGAGTACAGCTAACGTTATTTTTTCAAGCATGCATTAATTTTCTGTTAGACGTAAGCTGCGTGTGCTTCACATAGATCTATCTGAATGTAAGCTATAACCATGTAAGTGTGAGCTTCCAAACTCAACATAGTCTGGATCCATGTGAATCCAACAAGATTTATTTGAACATCATTTCAATGATAAGGTAGCTATAACAAGCTGCCTTTATTTGGTCCCATTGTATCTAACAGCTATAATCTAAGAAATCTAGAAATATACAGACAGGTACAACCTCAAGTTCTTTGCCTTATGTCTGATTTTTAGATGCAAGTTTGCTTGTGGTTCCTAATATAATGTAATGAGTTTATTTTTTTTTTTTTAGGTGTAAAGAGCATTTATAAGGAGGATTTTGACAATCATATTGTTCTGCATATTTGTCTGTTTCAGTACTGAGTTCACTGCAAATGCAAAAGTTGTCACACTTCTTTTGTAGAAAAAAGACATTGTTTACTGAAGAAGTAGAACTACTGTGGCAAGCTTAACTAGAGTGAATTGTCAATTTGGTTTAAGCTGAATAAAATGAAATCAAGTAAATGTGTCTATAAACTCCTTAAACCGAGGCCCCTTCTTTTTTTTTTTTGTGATTGTTATCAGCTATCGATTTCTAGAATAATGGCTCCCACCAGTGCAAGCTCTAGGAAGATCCAGTATACAGATTATTTTACCCCCTACATGAAAAATAGAAAAAAGAAGAAAGCAGTAGTTTTCATGTGACATCTAGGTTTAAATGGAGCAAACTTGCTGTTACACAAGATGCTGTTAAGATAAACAAGATAGCCTTCTCTTTCAACTAGGTGTTCTAGGTGCACCAATTAAACATCGTATGGTATTAGTTCAAAGTCATCATATCTTGATGCCTTGAAATGAAACAGAAATTCTCCTGTGGTTTTAGTACTTGGTGTCTTTCAGTCAGATTTCTCAAACATGTATTGATGCATCCATAAGGCCTCCCATCCTTTTATGGAAATAAATTGTTGCTTTCTTTTATGTAAGTTTTTCTTAAAGATGTTTTGTAACTATTTATTTTTATTAAACAAAATTAATGATAGGCATATGATGCAGGTTGCATTTGTTGGATTCATCACTTGTACAGTATTTCTCCGTACAAGACTGCATCCCATTGATGAGATGAATGGCAGATTGTACCTTTCTTGTTTGTTTTTCGGACTGGTGCATATGATGTTTAATGGATTTTCTGAGCTTCCAATAACAATTACCCGACTTCCAGTTTTCTATAAGCAGAGAGATAGTCTTTTTTATCCAGCCTGGGCTTTTTCTCTTCCTAGCTGGTTGTTACGTATTCCATACTCAATTATTGAAGCTGTAGTATGGTCTTGTGTGGTATACTACTCAGTAGGGTTTGCACCAAGCGCTGATAGGTCAGATTCATATTTTGTCATTCATTATCTACAAACATCTTACATGTTATCTTTTTCAACTGAACTAGTACTGTGAATATAACTAATTGTTGTAGGTTTTTCTGCTTCATGCTGTTATTGTTTTCCATACACCAAATGGCATTGGGTCTCTTCCGACTGATGGCTGCTATTGCAAGAGATTTCATTGTGGCCAACACATTTGGATCTTTTGCACTGTTAGCCATCTTTCTTTTGGGTGGATTTATTGTCCCAAAAGGTTAGAATTTGATGATCCTGTACAGTGTTTTCCTACTTTCTACTCTTCCACATTCTGAATGGAATACTTATGGCCTCTTCTTCTAACCATTCATGTGACCCTCGTACCTGTACAGTGAACTGAAGGAAGCATAGGACAAAATTCATCGTCTTTTTTCTTGGTTTTAATGCTTACTGAAGCTTCATTTACAATATCAGATTCAATCAAACCATGGTGGATTTGGGTTTACTGGATTTCACCATTATCGTATGGGCAACGAGCAATTGCAGTCAACGAGTTTACAGACTCCAGATGGAGAGAGGTATATTTTATTTTTAATTTTTTTTCTGATGATATACTCTGTAAATATCATATTTTTGGGTCCTGTAAACTGGTTTCTCTTTTACGACAGAAATCTTCTTATGGAACAGACACAGTTGGGAACAATGTACTTCGGTCACAGGGTCTACCAACCCAGAGATACTGGTATTGGGTGGGAGTAGGCATTTTGCTAGCTTATTCTATCCTTTTCAACATTTTGTTCATTCTTGCCATGGCATATCTTAAACGTAAGCCTCCAATTTTTGTCTAAGCACCCATATTAGTATTTGCTGCTAATAGATCTATCTTTACCTTGTCATGTTTTATAGTATTTTCTTCTAATGTCGCTGTGTATGTGGTACAATTTCTAACTTGTTGGTGTCATTGAAGCTCTGGGAAAGGCACAAGCAGTTGTCTCATCTGATTCTCAAGAGGGGGAGGATGAAGGTTGTCAAGGCACTCACCCACAAACTGCAACAAGTGGTAGTCTCTGTTGCTGTAATATTCATCTTTGCAGACCTAGTGTCCATTTATATTTTGTTTGAAGATTAATTTCATAAATACCTTGTTTATTATGTCAAGTGCAGAAAGTAATGAACCAGAGGCATCAGAAAGAACTGCTGACGGAAATACCTCCAATAAAGGAATGATTCTTCCATTTCAGCCATTATCTATGACGTTCCACAATGTCAATTATTTCGTTGATATGCCAAAGGTTGATACATCATGCATAGTAGATCCTTTTATATGTGACTAATCAGTGTTCTGACAGTTAATCGGTTTTGTACTCCAGGCAATGAGAGCTCAAGGAGTTCCTGAGACACGGTTGCAGTTGTTATCCAATGTTTCTGGGGTATTTAGACCACGTGTCTTGACAGCCTTGGTCGGCTCTAGTGGGGCTGGGAAGACCACACTTATGGACGTGCTTGCTGGTAGGAAGACTGGTGGATATATAGAAGGTGATATAAGAATTTCTGGATATGTAAAGGACCAAAGAACCTTTGCCAGAATCTCGGGATATGTTGAACAAAATGATATACATTCTCCTCAAGTAACAGTAGAGGAGTCTCTCTGGTTCTCATCAAGTCTTCGTCTTTCAAATGAAGTCAGCCAAGAAAACAGATGTGTTAGTCCCTACACCTTAATTTTATTCTTACTGATTTCAATATCCTTTTGATATATCACTATCCTGAAATGCAGGCATTTGTTGAGGAAGTTATGAAGCTAGTGGAACTTGATACTTTACGGCATGCATTAGTAGGCATACCAGGGAGTAGTGGCTTATCAACTGAACAAAGAAAGCGCCTTACAATTGCAGTAGAGCTTGTTGCAAATCCTTCTATTATCTTCATGGATGAGCCAACTTCGGGCTTAGATGCACGGGCTGCTGCAATCGTCATGCGTACTGTTCGAAACACAGTTGACACCGGGAGAACTGTGGTTTGCACCATACACCAGCCAAGTATTGATATATTTGAAGCATTTGATGAGGTAATAAAGCTTTTGTTGTGAATACCTTGTTTTGTAATTGATGAAGCTAAACTTCAGTTTTTTTCGCATTCTTTTCTCCATGCAGCTACTTCTTATGAAGCGAGGAGGCCTTGTCATATATGGTGGCTCACTTGGTAGAAATTCTCAAGATATGATAAACTACTTTCAGGTAGGTATTAAATGTAATCATGTATACTTCTTCATTAGCATGCCTGCACAGATTTTAGTTGCATATTGGATTTCTATTATTCTTCAATTCCGATTGTGAAGGGGGATTGGGGCAGGAGATTCATATGAGCCTCTTTCTATGGTACAAATAATTTGCTGCAAAATTTAGTGCTGTAAAGTTTGGAGTTAGATGTGCATGGCATCCTTTACCATCATAAAATGGGTATCTATAGTTGAAGTATACCACTCTTTGATTATCTTGGAACTTAATGTTGATTACTCAGACTTTGTTGATTATGAATATTATTTTTCTAATGGCCATAAACTAATAGTTCTATAAGAGACGTGCATAGTTTAAGATTCATTTGCACATGCAAAGTGTTCAGGAAAAATGATTTCTGAATAGTACAGAATGAGAGAACAAAGTTGTTGCTCTTCACCTAAGATATATATCAGAGTTGTGAAATTGTCTATCACAACACAACTAGATGTGGTCATGTGTAGTTGCCTGTGTCATTTTTTTTTACAGAAGTTTAAAAGTCCTGTATTCAAAGATATTGAATAAATTTAGAAAATTCCAACTCCTTTCAAGAGGTTTACCTTTGGTGTCAATCACGTTAGTGTTTTATGTTGTCCTCTTTCCATAATTATAGGTTATCGAAGTCAAGTGTTTGTACTTTGGATACTACATCATAGGCTCTCTTCTAAATTGTCTCATTCCCTACCCTGTATTACAGTTTGTATGCTTCTAATATCAGTTTGACTTCAGCATATTGCATTGCAGATGTCTTTTCTGTTAATCCAATAACCAAGTATGCATAAGATTATGTGTGTTGTTGGATGTGATTGATGGATCAATCATGCTTTGCTGAATCTGTTGAACCAGATCAAATTTTCAAGTTTTGCCGCTGAATGAGTCATTTATATATTTATATCCTCCATGCAGGGAATACATGGAGTTCCTCCTATCCTTGATGGTTATAATCCTGCAACTTGGATGCTGGAAATTAGTACACCAGCTTGTGAAGAAAGCCTTGGCTTAGAATTTGCTACTGTATATAAAAACTCAGATAAATTCAGGTGATTTTTGCCACATCTTTCCTAGTCCAGTTGACGTACCTTAGCTTGAGGGTTTAAATCCAAGTCCTATAAATTTTATCCCTGACCGACTAGCTTGGTGGTGTTTTTCCCCATTAACTTAATACAAATTGAGACTTCAAGTCCTCATCCTAAAAATTTATTGAAATTATTGGTTAGCTTAGTTTTTAAATGTTTTGTCAGTTTATTGGGATCATATCCCATCTTCACAACTTGTCATTTGCAAAAATAAAAAAAAAAGGTCCCTTTGTCTTGAATATTTATAATATCACAATTGATTTTTGCTACAGGGAAGTTGAAGCTCTCATTCAGGAATTAAGTACCCCTGCTGCTGGTACAGAGCCTCTGAGATTCTTTTCAGTGTTTCCGCAAGATAAACTGACTCAATTTAAAGTATGCTGTAAGAAACAATTTCTTGTGTACTGGAGAAGTCCCCGATATAGTGTTGTGCGCATGTTCTTCACTGCAATTACCGCATTGATATTTGGGACAGTCTTTTGGAATGCTGGCTCAAAAAGGTAACAAGCATTCACCAAATCTGCATTGAGGATATAGATTTTTGAGCGTATGCTTCCATACATAGCAATATTCGAGTAAACCATATGACCAACTAGCTCTAATGTTATTCAGAGATACCGTACAAGACTTGTTTCTGGTTATGGGATCCCTCTATTCAGCTTGCATATTCCTCGGAGTCAACAATGCATCCTCTATACAACCTGTGATTTCTATTGAGAGGACAGTTTACTATAGGGAAAGAGCAACTAGAATGTATGCCTCATTTCCATATGCAGCAGCACAGGTTTGTGTTTCTTATACATAAGCAGATTGTTATCTTTACTTGAGAATATAATGATATCATGTCTTGTATTTACAGGGTATTGTAGAGATTCCATACATCCTGTTGCAAACCATTATTTTTGGCCTTATCACCTTTTTCATGATCAATTACGAAAGGACTTTAGGTACAATGGGGCCTCTCTCTCTCTCTCTCTCTCTCTCTCTCTTGTTCATATAGCTTATTGGTACATATATAATTTTTTTATTTTTTTCCTGATTGACGCAGGTGTCTTCACTTTTCTTAATTAGAACTTTCTTAAGAATATTTTTTTGATTAGCCTTCACAAATTTCCACTTCTTAAACTAGACTTACAGATAGCAAAAATTTAGCATTTTCTGTTGGAAGGATGTTGGAACCAACTTTATTAGGTTATAACTTTAAATTAACTACTTTTAGAACACATCATAATTTGGATTTCTGGGATTCCAAGTATAATGCAGGCATGAACATTGACTTGTTTCTCAAAGTTTTGCTTTGTGACATTTCCCTGTCAAAGCCACCTGGTATCAATGGGATAATCCTGTGGCACAAACTTGTTTTTCTAAGTTCTGCTTTGTGAAGTTTCCCTTTCAAAGCCTTCTGACATCCCCACCAACAAACCTTTTGATTTTTCTGCTCGGGTTTTGAAAGGGTTCTGGGATAATCCTGAGTTCTCAGAGATAGTATGAGACCTTTAGTGAACACTCTGGGCATTTTTTTTTCTTTTTTGTTTAAAATACATTATGTATGACATCAATGGGATCTTAGAACACAATTGCTTCATACACTGAATTGTAGGAGCTGAGCTGGCAAGCATCGAGATATAGGATAGAATCTAGTGGGGTTTTGATTTCTTCATTTGATTGTCCAAAGAACACAATTGTGCTTCATATACTGAATTGTAGGAGCTCAGCTGGCAGGCATCTAGATATAGGATAGAAATCAAGTGGAGTATTAGTTTTGATATCTTTGTTTGATTGTCCAAAATGGTGGAGACCACCTTGCAAGTTACAGGACCTTTAGTCTTCAAAATTGGCTGTTTGGCAGCACTGCTTGATGCTTTTTAGGATTGACACCAGACCACAATGTTGGAAGTTTCAGAATTACTGGAATCTGCACCAGCACAAGAACTCAATTTTTCAAGAGTAAAGTATTTGATGTCTAAATGTACATCCTAAGTTTTTTTTCGTCAAGAGCTACTAATGGTAGAAGACATGCTTTGGTTCATTTAGCACTAATGAGTTGACTTGTGGTGGCAAAGAAAACTATTTCTCCAAAATAAATTAAAAAAAGAATAAATTAAATGTCTGTTGTATGCTCATTTATTTAGGATTTTCTCTTGGCTTAGGTTGTCAAAGAATGTGATTTAAATATCTGTCTATATAATTAAATGATTTTTATTTTTTATCCAATGACAAAAGAAATTTTGATTGATCCAAGGTCACATCATCCAATTCTCTTTTACTCAAAACTCAAATTTTAAGGATATTGTATATTTTAAGTGTCATACGTTAGACTATTTTTTTTATGGTTGCACATGACAAGTTTTAGAGGATTTGAATACAGGAGTCATAATGGAACTGAACGATTGCGCTTAGGGAGATTATATCATAAAAGATAAATTTGATGTGGATAAAATTATATAAATCTTCTCATGAACCGTGATGGTTAATGTTTGTGGTTATTATACGAACTGGCACACTGAGAAGATTCAAATGACATCCCTATCCTTATAATTTGAGTGCCACAGGCAAACTTTCATGGTTGACAACTATAATGGAGAAAATTGCCAATTGTCATTTACTTCCCATCTGTTTGTCAATTTTAATAGTACTTAATCATATATTGGATGCTTGGCCCTCACTGGTTGATTTGTTTCTTGCAGTAAAGTTTATCCTATACTGTTTGTTCATGTTCCTCACTTTCATGTACTTCACTTTCTACGGAATGATGGCAGTAGGTTTGACTCCTACGCAACAGCTAGCAGCAGTTATTTCATCATCATGTTACTCCTTATGGAATCTACTCTCCGGTTTTCTGATCCCCAAAGCTGTAAGTAGCCAGTAAACAAATACCTTCATTTTCTTTTCATATCATTAAATTATTGAAAGCAAAATCTTATAATTGATGAGAAGATCGGAATGTCAGCTTGCATCGTCCACTCAGAAAAATTGCAGTTAGAATCAAGGATCAGGTTCCTACCAATATGTATTAAAATATATAAATATCAGGCATTTGGCTTGATGTAAACACAGAAGAAAAAATAAAGATTACCTGCATTTGGTTTTATTTTTATTGGCCTATTCCACTCATACCTTGGCAGCTCATAATTGATCATACATGTTGGTTTAGTCAGCTCTAAATTCTCTTTCCAAAACAATATCAATCGGAATTGGTATCAACCAAACTGCACTTCTTTGATTATGACACTGAATAGTTTTATAGCTTGGCTAACCAACCAGTGGTTATGCTTTAGAGTATTTGGTCATTAACCTCTGATAGTTCTCTCAAGGATGTAATTACATGGCAAAGGTTAGATTGATAACTGATAACCACCTTCAGCATTTGTTTACTTTGGTCGTTTTTGTTTGGCTGTCTCAGAACCTCCCCGTGTGGTGGCTTTGGTTTTACTACATATGCCCGGTGGCGTGGACTCTTCGCGGCGTCATCACATCACAATTGGGTGATGTTGAGACCAGAATAGCTGGTCCAGGTTTTGATGGGACCGTGAAGCAATACCTGGAGGAGTCCCTCGGCTATGGCCCTGGCATGTTGAGCATTACCGCTGTGGTTTTGATTGCCTTCTCCTTTGTGTTCTTCACTGCGTACGCCACCTCCATCAAAGTTCTCAACTATCAGAGACGGTGACCATGCATGCTGACAAATCTTCCACCTTTAACCTGCAAATGTTTTCTCTCTCACTCACCAAGCATATGTAATCTTCATCCTCTTGTAAGTAACCTGAATTCCGCGAATGGAAGCCTTCCTGACCAGACCAGCTTCGGTGCATTTACGATTTCTGATCTTTTCTCCTTGGTATAAAATCATGCTTCGGCCTTTTGTCTGGCTGCTCTTTTTGTTTGCCAATCTTCGTTACTTGGTCTTTCAATATATATATATACATTTAATTGTAAATGCTCCACTGAAAAGAGATGCTATGAATTAAAGTGGGTGAAAGAAGATCTGGCTGGGTGGTTGAATGTTCTTCTCGGGTGGCTTCAGTCTCTCAGGCATCTCAGTAAATGCTCTTTTGATCAGCTGTAAGGAATCTGATATTGACATATTGTTTTGAATAACGAGTTCAAATTCACTGGGATTGATATTTGTTTGTCGACAACTGTCACAGACGCACCTAATTAACTTTGGTTTATAACACGGATCATTATGCTAAATGGCAGGAGGCGTGATTGGTAGTTGTGTAGATGATCAAAGCTGATAGCTCGAGATATCAAGTACTGGTCCTATAAAATATGATCAATTTAGAATATTATATTTAAAACAAAACCTTTTTTTAGAATATTATATATAAAACAATCTCAGTCGTAGATTCATGTAAATCAGTTTCTCTCTGAAGATCCAAATCATCATCTCAATCATTTTCAGATTCTTATGCACGTAATCCAACCAAAATCGAATCGGGATGACAAAGATATCAACAATCACATCATCAAATTTTTTCTAGAACTAAAAAGTACTTGAATCCGATCTTATTTCTTAAGTCATTAAATATTTATAATATTCTGAGTAACTATTTTTTTGTTAGCCACTAATAATGTTGATGTCATTAAGTGACTTTTTTTTATATATAAACAACAACTAAGGATACTTATTCTCTTACACTTATTTGACCGGCGTATAAACCAATTTTGTTATTGGATGATGGCCCTCGAAGTTAATAGTATATTTCAGATCATTTGTATGATAATTTTTTAACATAATATAAATCTTTATTTCAAAAAAAATAACAAGAATTCTTCTTTGGGGATCTTTTGACAACATGTCCCATCCTTATTTCTTATTCAAAAGAATAAGTAAAGGTAATTATCACATACTAAGATAATATCTATAGGAGGAACAATAAGGAAAAATGACGAGAAAGAAAAAATAAAAAATATTATGAAAGTCTTTTGCATAAATTTAATATAATATAAATAATATTTAATCTTTAAAATCTTTATCATTGCTTAAATATTATTAAAAGATATCGTTGACATTTTGATCAACTCTATATGATCCGAACCCGTATGAGTATTCGAAGTGACTTCGAGATGATTTCGAGGTGGATTCGAAATGATTTTAAGGTGACTTGGATTTGAAATGAATTGATGAGATGTTGAGTTTCCAAATATTTTTTATTTATATAAAAAATAATAATTTATTATATTTATATAAAAATATATATATATTACTACATTGGAAGTCTAAATTTTTAATCAAGGGTGCATGAAAGAAAATAATAATGTGATATTTGAACAGCTACGTTGGTAGTATAGATTGAAGAAATCCTCCCCATTCATTCATGTAAATTAAAATATAGTTATATCAATGCAACCCCCGAGACAAAAAGGTTAGTAATATTTGTGCCATAAAGACACAGAGTCTTTGGGCCATAAAGACAGACGGACGACAGGAGTTCTCCAAGCTTCGCCGGACGTTGTTGTGCTCCACCCCAGACAGCAGCAAGCGGAAGCGATTGAGGTTGGGAAGGCGTGTGGAACGAAAGAATCCCGGTTTCCTTCTCGCGGTCATTTCTTCATAAGCCTTGCGCGGAACCCTACTTGCTCACGTCGCGCGGCGTGATGGGCCGTCGACCGGGGATCAGCTGCAAGGTCTACCATTGAGACGTGTTCCTTGGAGAAGCCGAAGTGTTCCCGGCCGCCAAGAACAGCGACGGTAAGGGCCAAAGCTCGCCGTTCCCTAACACCAACGAGATACGCGTCGATTGCCTCTCCCTTCCCAGCGAGCGGTGCCTTCCCCTCTCCGTTCTCCAAACCATCTCCCCTTTCGCCCTCCGCTGCAAGCTTCAAGCCAGGTCCGACGCCGATCATCCCCTCCTCAACCGACTCTACCTCTCATGCTTCCGAGAACGCAAGGTCCCTCCTCGTCCCTTCTTCTCCTTTCTCCTCTTTCTGTGCAAGAATCCCTATGATGCTCATTCTTTCATGCGCAGGATGCGGTGGTGGTCGCCGGGAGCGAAGAGCTGCATCTCATGGCTATGAAGTATTTTCTATGATGGTTGCTTGTGGATCCCGAGTGAGGCGCTTTCTCTAATCCGTTTTTTCTTTTGTAGATCCTAAAGGACCATGGGAGGTTTCGGGAAGGCTGACTTTTACGGATGGACACGCAAGGGTACTGCACGACTTAAGTAAAACCAGTTAAGTTCGCGACAATGCGGCATATCAAAACATCGGAGGTGCCATACAAAGTCATTTGAGCGCGAAAGGCGACAGTGTGTTCCTTTAGGTTAGAGTTGCTGTAAAAGGCTTCTAGTGATGGAAGGCGAAAAATTGTCAAGTTCAGTTTCTCTTGGATGCTTTGGGTGAACGGGGAGCAACCCGAGGTGAGATCAATCGAATCTTCCCCCTTGGATTGCTGGAACTCTCGACGCATCTTGTTTAAGCGTTGGTCCATTTGTCACAGTTAGACCCTCAAGGAGTCGTCCATTGAATCCGTTGACTGGGTCTCTGATTCGAGTAGGGCAGTGCATTGATGCAACGACGTGTTAAAATCCACGGTCTGGGAGCGGGGTGCTCCTTCTGCCGGTAGCTTAACGGGCCTAGGACAGTCTTGAGCTGTCGGTACTGGGTCAGTTAGTGGAATCCCAACAGGTGTGGATGACAACAGTGGTTGGGACATCGACCATGGTTGAGACAATATCGTGGCTTATTAAGTTAGTTGGGGCAGGAGTGGGGTGATAGCCTGTATCATCCCCGAGGTGAAAGACCTGAGTAATTGAACAGACGCCAATAATGCCTTGGTGTATAAGCAAAAGTGGACGCATCTACATGGGGGAAGGAGGCCAGTTGCCCCCTCGAGTAAAGGTGTTATGGGTTAGAGGCAAAGCCTCCTCACTGGATCGTTCGTTGAGAGGGTTAGCGGGTGGACGTTTTTGTGACATTCGAGCCCTTCCTCTAGTGCCAAAATGTCGAAGGAAAGTACCGTCGATGTTTGAGTCAGCCCGATTGATCTAGACTCGAAGGCAGAGAAATGTTCAAGGTCCCCTCTAAGTGGCCCGGACGTATTTGAGGTGGCTCCGAGGTGGACTTGGAGTGGCTCCGAGGTAGGGGTTCGACTTCCTGGGCACTTCCTACATAAAGACTAGTGTCGGGAGAAGTTTCCTGACCCGATCCCTCTGATGCTCAAGTCAGTCCGAGGTTCCTTTTGGGGTATGGGGTGTTCTCCAAAAAAAGTGTCCCTTAGGCCGACACTAGGGTGGTCAATTGAGGGGGCACCTTGTAACGACCCCATCGTCCCCCTTTGGCGTCTTGCCCACGGGGGCAAAAAGGGAGGACAAGCCCGAACGATCTCCCGTGGACTATTGTCCATGGGGCTTGAGAAGCTATAATTGCCTCCCATGTCGGCGACAAGGGGAGGATGATTAGGGCCCTTTCTTCCGCATCAGCATCCTCGAGGTGATTAGTTGGTAGGTGGTGATTGGCTGTCAAAATATTCTCTATCATCGATGTTGTGCACCTTTATGTTGTGGCCTGGAATCGGCACTGTATGGTCCAATCTTGAAAGCGCAAGGTCATCCATGTGGCTTCTCATGGGAAGAAAGATAGGGGAGCGAGGTCGAGCCGAGGAGGTCGGCTCAGGGGCTACGATCGAATCTTCGAGGACGTCTTGAGGTGGCATCACGTTGTGCTCAATCTGCCAGGATCCTACACGATAGGTCAATGTCGGGGGGAGGTTCCTAACCCGACCCCTCCTGTGGTTAAGTTTGTGAGTGTAGGTGTCTTTTTTTTGTCTCCCCTTATCCCAGGATAGGGAATTGGTATTTATACATGCGAAAATGGCTCGGAAGTACGATGATTGATAGTGACCACCGGTACCTCCCAAGGCATGGTCACGCAGGCAACCGACCCGTATGCCCCCTACGGCATGGGTTGGCCCATCCGGGTTTCTAGGGCACAACATCGACTCGTATAGTCCCGTGTGGCACGGGACCGGGTGGAAGGGTGCTGCCTACCAGGTTAGAGGCCTGCATCAATCAGATGTCGGGTTGAGTTCCATGTCAGCTCCACGGTGGCCGCCAACTAGCGAACTGTAGTTAGTGCGAGAATATTCCCTATCAATCGGCGATGTTCGAATCAGCTTAATACGATTCGGGCCCATGTGCACAAGAGAGGTGAGATATCCGAATCTTACTGTTGTTTTGGACTGATGTCCATGTGGCCTAGCTGTTGATTGGGTCTTGCCCCCTCACTGCTGATTGTGTTGCCATGTGTCAAGCCACCATTGGGGGAGAAGATTTCCACTATCACCTTTGCTTTGAAAAAAAAATAAAAAGATATCTTAATTAATTTATAGTGCCTACTCTGGTGCATTCTTGTGTTTTTCCTTAATTGATTTGCCTCTGATGAAGATGGCAAGATATCAGTAAATCAACCATCTGCAAGCAACATAAATCTATATAGTGAATCAGGACAACCAAGTTTACTTGCCGGCTTGCTGCATCCATGTTCATTTCTACAATGCAAGAAATCGGCAGGAGATGTAACTCTTAAGGTATTTGCTTGTGCTGAATCCCAAAGGATTTTCGTCTTGTATCTAACTTTTCTTTTTCTTTTTGTCTTGGACAGATTGAGTTAAAGGTCCATAAATGGAGGCAGTAAGGATTTGCAACATTATGTTGAGGTGAGTGATTTTATCCATTTTGGAAGCTGGTCGACTTGGATTGTTTAACCCTTGTTGTTTAACCCTTGATTTTATCCATGCTGTGGCCTAGAGTCGGCACTGCTTGGTCCAATCTTGAAAGCGCAAGGTCGTCCATGTGGCTTCTCAGGGGGAAGAAAGATGGGGGAGCGAGGTCGGGCCGAGGAGCTCGGCTCGGGGGCTATGATCGAATCTTCGATGGCGTCTTGAGGTGGAGAAGCGTTGCGCTCAATCTTGCCAGGATCCTACACAATAGGTCAATATCGGGGGGAGGTTCCCGACCCGACCCCTCCGATGGTTAAGTTTGTGAGTGCAGGTATGTCTTTTTTTTGTCTCCCCTTCTCCCAGGATAGGGAATTGGTATTTATACATGCGAAGATGGCCCGGAGGTACCGGTGGTCCCGGAAGTACGATGGTTGATAGTGACCACCGGTACCTCCCAAGGCACGCTCGTACGCCCCCTGCGGCATGGGTTGGCCCATCCGGGTTTCTGGGGCACGATGTCGACTCGTATAGTCCCGTTCTTGGGCCATAGATGCAGTTGCAATTATGTATGTGGCTAGCGTCACATGGTCGGTATACAATTCCCCTGCATTGTGACCGAGTATCACTTATGGAGTTCTGTGAACATACCTTAACAAAGTGTGTGCAACATACTCATTTCATAGATGGATTGGTGTGGTATTTATGACACTAGAATTTCACTTCAATAAAAAAAAAAGAATTTCACTTCCTAAAAGTTTGAACAATTAGGATATTTTAGTTCATGTTACTGCTTTACCTATATCAAACTTTTCCTCCTTTTTGTATTTATCAAGGCCTTTCTTGGTGGGGGAACCTAAATTTCTCATTGGACTGTGAATTGTCTGACAAGCTATTATTGGATATCCACACACATTAGCTAGACAGTGAATGTTCACCGAGTTTTTTTTTTTCTTTGTAAAACTCCTTTTTGAAGTGTGGTTGGCTGAATGTGCACTTGATCAATGCCTGCCATGTCTTACCCCTTGAGTCAAACAATTTTGATGAGATCAAATTTGATTGTTCCGAAAATATTTGAAGGCGGATTTCTGGTACAAAGCTTTCGCTCATGGGCAACTGAATGTCCATTAACTTCTTTATTTTTATGCTGAATCAGTTGAGCAAAGTTATTAGTGATGACCTATTTTTTAGTAATATTTTACTGTTGATCCAGCGTTTTATATATCATCTCACTATTTGCTTAGTACTACTTTTGCTGCTTCTTGGAAAGTTTGCTGCCGCTTGAAGGTTTGTAGTGCTTTTTGTAACTGGACAACTTTTTATGTGAGTTCCATAGCAGATCGGCTATCTAATTTACCTTTTTTTTTCTTGTGGAATTGTAGGAGACTATTCATCCTTTATTGTGCTGGTGGTATGGTTACAAGTGTTAATAAGCATTTTCTTGGGAATGAAAATGGCTTCTTAAATGACACGGACAGCCCTCAAAATGAGCTAGCCAAGAAAGAACACTTACCTGCCAGTACATCACAAAAATTGGGTATTGACTTAGATTCTTCTCTGTCCTGTCTGATATTAAAAAACTAGCAAGTAATGAACATATGCTTTTCTGTAATGCTTTGAAATTTGTTACTAATGTTGGAACAGTCATTTAACTGAGCAAGCTCCATATTTAATTTCTAGTGTTTGGACGGACAAACTATAGTATTCCAGGAAAAAAACATCTTCTGTGATGCCAAATAAGGGAGAGTATTGTTTTCAGGTTATATAGCTCTGTCTCAGTTCAATTGTTTATAACTATTACATTTACCTTCTATGTTTCTTGCTCTCATAACATGGTTATTCTTTTCATTTTATGGGTTAACAATGAAGCATATCTGATCACTTCATACTCTTTGTGAAAATAATTATGATTTTGCACCTTACTATCATATAGGTTGAATTAGCTGGAAATATTTTGGGAAAGGGAGTTGGTTTAAGCAAAGAGGAGGCTAAGCTTCAGGTGGTCCTATCATCAGGTGGTCCTATCATCTTTTTGTCCACATTTCTTTTTGTACTTGATCTTCATGGATGCATGTCTAGTTTCCTTTTCCTCTGTATTTTAGGACTGTGAGCCCTGAAAAGATAATTTCCCTTTTTCCATCATTTTAGAAATATTTCTCTATGACTTTGTTAATTTGCCTCTCATATTAAAGTTAGGAGGGCAGTGCTGATCAAGCCACTCGACTCTTTTGTGCTTGTCATTTTGTCTTCGAATTGTAGCATTCTGTCTTATAGGTAATCTTGCATCTGAATTTGAGTCACATATCGTTGGACACACAATATCAATTTCTGCTGTCATACACAAATTCTTATTGTCTACACTCTACAGTGAAATCGGTCATGGATGGGTTACTTGTACAGACTGATTGCTGAAAGGGTAGGCCAACATGTTTTATCCTAATCAGTTTTGATCCAAGGCCTGCATATCTTGTTTCAACTTCTAGTTTGTTACATGTCATCCTTTGTTTTTCACCCAGTGGAATGTCTTCTCACAACAATATCTGTATAAATCATCTTCAACTTGTGATAAAAGATTTAGCTATATCAACACCCATTTAAAATAGCATTATTTGATGTGTGTGACATTTTAGAACTTATTGGATATGTTTGTCAATCTGCATCATACAATCTTTAATGTTTGCTGTCTGATCTTATTTGCCTCAGATCCACAATGCTCACAGTTTGCAAAATATTTATCTGGACATTCTAGTTTCTGCCTAATATCCACTTTAATAATATATAGGCTGCAGAGGAGGCACTCCTTACTCTTAAGAACAGACTTGAATCGACAAGCAAAGAGACGTTAAAGATCATCAAGGTTATGTTGCATTGCATATTTACACTGATTTATTTGTCAACTAACTATTTGAAGTGACTTTTGTTGTAAATTTAGTGTTTTCTTGGTTAGCTGAGTCAACTAACTATTTCAAGTGACTTCTGTTGTAAATTTGGTATATTATTTGTTAGCTGGGTCAACTAGCTAATTTAAGTGACTTTTGTTGTAAATTTGATATATTCTTGGTCATGACTTGTTGTATAGATCTTTAACCATCTATATATTTTATGATCAACTATTATATTGAAGTTACCATATAGCTTACCTTTAAATGGTGTTGTTTAAAGGCTTCATATACTGTAGGATATCTAGGCCTTTTAGATGTATTTAATTTTGTTTAAATGGTTGATGACCTCTTTGTTTATGAAGAATGGAGCATTATGATTGGAGGTTAAAATTTTATTATAGATTTAACATTGTCATTTCCTTCACATTGTGGATGCATATACCATTCTAATGACTGCACTTCGTATCTAATATATTCTTCTGATCTTTTAATTTTTGGGATTCAGAAGCTGCTAGCTTTTTTGAGTGAGAAGCTTCCTGAACTTTCTTATAGGAGATGATTAAGATTTGTGCTTGGATTTTTTTTTTTTTGAGATATCTTCCAGAATGCCATTTAAGGTCATGTTATATACATACACAAACTTACCTTTTAGCATAGCATCGATTGTCACTCTTCTAGCAGATAGTCTCTCTAACTTGAGGTAATTCATTTTGGTGTAACCTTTTTAAAGTTACTATAGCCTATACATGACCCTACAAAACTAGTTCCTGAATCTATGCCCTTGTACTCAATAGTTGTAAATTAACTGTTTAAAAAGTTAAAAGTGAATGAAATCCTTTTCAATGTTCTAAGTGTTAAATTTTGTGTAAGTCCGGATACTTTGACTGTTGTGTTTTAGGAGGGGCATCTATGTCTCTTATGGTATAAGGTCATTTAAATGTTTGCTAATGAGTTAGTGAATTAAACAGGAAAAAAACATAGTGCTAAGAGACACTATCATAGGGTGATTATATGCCAAAAATTGAGCAAATGATGAAAAAAGAATAGCTGTCACAATTGATTTTGGAATATCCTATATAATGAAAACTTTCTTTTGGTCTTTTGTGGTCCAGTTGTTACTTACGGAATTGAATCTAATTTATGTCTTGGACTTTTGGTTGCTCAGTTAAGAGTGATTTTGATTTTGTGTTTAGATGCAGTAGCTTAACATTTTTTGTTCAACAGGCCTAATGACTAAAAAATGCTCCATTGATGGAACTGATGCGAGTTTACAAAGTATCCTCTAGAATACCATTGTGCATAGACGTTCAGATGGTCAGGAACGAGGTGCAAGTTCTTATAGTCAGACGGTTCTTATCCCTTGAGCCCTCATGGAATTTCTGTTGACTTCCTCATGCATTATGCTTGTCGCATTGACATCTATTCATATTCAACAGGAAGTTCTTTTATCTTACTTGATTGCTGATCGGTCTAGAGTTCTTAGAGCTGTGAGCACAGTCAAATTTTGGTAGAACTCCCTCACAAGATTCTCTGAACTTCCTGTATCAACCATATACGATGGTCTGTATAGAGAGGCTATGTATTTGAACATGGCAGGCAAGAAAAAAACACTTGAATTAGATCAGAATTTTCACTTGACTGGAAGGTTTTTCTATTCTTGGTGCAGGAGAAACCTCAGTCTGTGTATTGGAGATTTTGACAAGATTCTATGGACCGGTGATGCTCTGAGGTAATCAGAAGGATTTTCCATCAACGAAGTATATCAGATAGTCTGGTTATTGGTTCTTTGGAATTTATGCTTGGAATTCCTGTGTTGCTTGCTCTCTGTTAGCTGTGTAGTCTTGTTTGTAGTCCATTCACAAAGATATGACAAGTTTTCTGTGGATTCATGTAATTGTTCTCTCCTATTTGTTGAGCTTAACATAGTTATCTCTAGAAATTAGTACTAAGGCCCACATAAATGCTTCCTGCTGAAATCTTGTCTTGATTGCTGAGCTTTGCTATGATGGTGGTGGGTACTGCAGCATTCCAGCACATTTGGAATCCAGCATGCTGCTTGATTTGCTGAAAGCACCGTATCCCTCCCCGCCTTTTGTGGTGCAAGTAGGACATGATGCAGGTAACATGCTTTCTGAGGATGAAGCACACCATCATATCCGAGCAGCCTTTTCCTCCATTTCCTTTCCTTCGATGCTCCTAACCAGGTATGATCCTGACGCTATCTTGTTTTCGTTTGAGCCGTGGCTTTAATAGTAATCCCAAACTATTTCTACCCTCCATTGTCTGATGTATCACAAAGATTTGAACTGTTAATGGTTTTAGCCCACCACCGATTGGAGCAGAGAAGGAATCATCATGGGAGGAGGATGACAGCTCTACATTTATGTGGCTCGTATTCAGAAAGAAATGGATATATATATATATATATATATATTCCTGCAACACGATTATTCCTGCAATTTAACGTTGAACAACTAGACAGAAGAAGTTACAACACGGGAGGAAACCATCGTGTAGTGCCAAAAGAATAGAAACGCAGGACAAAGCATTCAGCACAGCCTCTTCTCGTCCAAGCATTCCTTCCTATGTTTCCGGTAAAACGGAGAACTAAGTAGAAGTGCATCAGTTCAAAGCTGGCGACGCTGCTGTGGCGGAAGGGCAGGGGGAGGAGGATGGGGGTTGGGGCACTGGTAGCACTTGGCGAAGAGCCCAAAGGTGTCGACTTGCCTGACGAAGTTGGTCATGCTGGCCCATCCGCCGAGTCCGAAGCCGACGACGAGCACCCATCCCACCACCAAGGCGTTCACCACGTACATTCCCGTCCAGCTCGGCAAGAAGAATGGCGGCTTCTCCGCAGCATTCTGCAGGGTTTAGGAGGAGATATAGATCTGTCGTATTAGGTGAGGTTAAGATGACGGAAAGCAACCGCGGATCGTCGTCATGTCTCCATCCATGTCCATGGAGGACCAGATGAGTGGACTGGTATCCTTGGACGGTTCATCTTAACCACGTAGAACAACTGAGGGCAGGCAGGGTAAGAAGGACGGGTACCTGTCGTGCAGATGGTGTCCGGTAGGTGAGCATATGTGCCAGAGCGGGAATAATGTACACGGTGAAGCTGACGAGGAGAGCGCCCACCGCGGAGTTGATGGGGCCAAAGAAGGGGAAGATGATGGCCAGGAACCAGATGGGGATGACGACGGGAAGCCGGGCGAGGGCGCGCAGGCAGACGCTCTTGGCGTCATGCATTCCGATCACTTTCTCCCACACGAAGTACAGCGGGGTGCAGGCGAAGCCGAAGGTGATGAACTGGTGGATCAGCATCAGGATGACGGCGGCGTCCCTCCACCTCGACTTGGGCAGCAGCGAGAAGGCGTTGGAGTGCGTCAGAAGCTGGTCGCCGAAGGCCCAGTAGGTGGCGGCCGCCGACGGCAGCGTCAGGGTGAACACGTACACCGTGGCCAGCAGGTAGATGTGCTTGAACTTCTGCGGTTTCCACATCGCGTGCATGATCTCCCTGCAGAGATGGAGGAGTTACAGAGTAAATAAATTGAGGGATAGCATGAGCAATTCATGTTCCGGTAATCAGATCAAATTCTTCGGTGGTCCTCTGTTTTCCTTCTAAATTACGTTATCTAATTCCAGGTAGTTCCTTTCTCTGGTCGATCACCACCCGGCAGACTTGAAAGTTCAGATTCCCACTGCGACGCCTGCCTTCTGCGATAGAGACTTTTGGACTCCGACTCCGGAGGTAAAGGATGATCGAAACTTGCATCTGACGAGCTCTGCTGCTAATTACAGCCTCCTAAGGTAAGAGTGATGAATCATCGGAGCAAGATGGGGCCGATGGAGGAAAGCGAGCACTCACACGGTCACGGCGTGGCCGCCGAAGGTGTAGAGAATGTTGGTTGCGCCGGTGAAGTAGAGCACTAGCTGCGTTGGACCCGAGTGCGTCACCCCTTCCACCTGCATCATCCATCCGGAACAGAGCATCATCGTCATCATTCCTTCTGTGAGCATAATTAAGTGGGCAATCAAATCAGCCACCAATCAGATCCTACGTTACTGTTCTCGTTGTGGATGACGTTACCTGGCCGTGGACGGCGGCGGCAATGGTGAGGTACCAAGCGGTGTAGGTGGTCATGCCGAGGCCGAGGAAGGACCATATCCTGTAGTTGTGGAAGGAAGGTATGAACACCGTCGTGGCGCAGCAGGCGCCGAATATGTACGTCCACGTCCTCTTGTCCAACCGGTCGTTGATGTAGTATATGTTGCTGCTCCATCACCGACACCGATCAAGCAAAGCTTTCATGCGTGTATGACCTAGCGACGCATCTCGACCCGAAAGAGGGGGAAAAAGATACCTGGCACAGGCTATGAGCTGAATGACGGAGCCGAAGAGGAGGAAGGTGCAGTTGAAGGCGAGGCCGGCGGCCTTCCAGTATGGCCCCAGCAGACCATCCAGCACCTCGAACCACTGTCACAAACAAGCACTCCTCTTAGTCAGTAGCAGGAAGAGGAACTGAGGGGTTTGTCGACTTGGAATCTTGACGAGGGAAGTGGACGGAGAGGAGTGAGAGAGAAGGAACCGGAGAGGCAAGGGGGGACCGGACCTGGATGACGTGATTCTTGAAGCTGACGTTTTCCTTCTCCTTTCGGGCGCGGTACTCGATGTAGAGGACGCTGATGAGGTACGCCGTCCAGCTTCCGAGGAAGCCATAGAACATCTGCAGGATCACCCCGGACAGCATCCCCAGCTGCGAGAACGAGTAGGGCAGCGTCAACAGCACCTGCGCCACCTGCAATTGACACCAGCTCCACTCGTCAGCAGAGAGAGAACGGAAGAAACAAACGGAATCTTCGTCAGTTTGTGATCAGTGTGGGTATGAAGTACTTGATTGGAGGCGCAGCTGAACCAGGCGTCCCAGGCGGAGCCGCCGTGCCAGAGGAGGCTCTTCATGCTGAACACGGAGGCTGTCTCGCCGCCCCGCTCCTTGTCGCCACCTTGCGCCGTCTCATTGCTGAAGGTAGCAATGTCAGTCGCCGGGATGGCTGCTTCCTCAGCTTGCTTCGCCGGGAGCATCCTTGACAGTGATCGCTGCAGAAAACCTTCGAATCTGCTTCGAGTGACAGTTTTGCAGGACAGCAATCGAAAAAACCAAGGAATCAAACTGAAGTACCTTAATTCAACTGAAGCAGAGAGACCAAATGGTGGGTCGAGTACGGGGAGGAGGAGAGGAGGTGAGTCCGGGTGGTGTTGTCAGCTCTTTAGCTGAAATGTACTGGAAATTACTCGTGTCCTCTGGTTCTCGTCATCATTGTATCAGATGGAGCTGATGGTTTTTGGGTTTGATTCCGCTGCGGGAAGCAAAGGGAATAGGGAAAGGGGAGGAGGAGAAACAAATGGTATTTGATGGCAGGATCGAGCACTCTCCCTCCACCCTTTATGGTCAGTAGCGGTGGGACTCGGCTTCCTCTGTCCCAACGTTGCTTAGGCTGCAATCATCTCTCTCTCTCTCTCTCTCTCTCTCTCAACTGTTCGCTTGATTGACGACTCCACTATTTAAGATCTCAAAGGGTAGGAAACAAAGAATACTAGGTGTTTGAGCTTCTTCTTGCATGACCATTTTGGTCTTTTACACACACACACACATATATATATATATATATATATATAATAATAATAATAATAATAATAATAATAATTTTAGATATTTTTTTGTTTTATTCTCACATAACATCATTTATTTTCTAAAAGATGATATCACATTTGTTATGTGGCGATGGTCTTCGTCGGTCTATCATGATTTTGTTTATTGCTATCGTCGTGCCCTCATCGTGATCACCTTTAGATTATTCTTTTCTTGATCTATTCTTTATTGTATGAACTCCTATGATAATAGAGATAACTCTTCAAATAAGCTCTTATTGTAATAATAAATTTTATTATCATTAATAATGATCTTAAATGTTTATTTTTCTCTCTTTTATCATTTTTGCTAGTGTTTTTTAGGCCAAGCATCTTATCATAACACTTGTTGGCATAGGTTTACTCAGGCTTAGATCGATCAACGATATTGCGAAAGAAATAAATGAAACAACTTGATATGAAATAACTGTTATGATGACATGGAGTACAAGATGATCTTAGCTCCATCCAAGATAGGTGATACTACCTACAAGACAGATAGAAGAGACGCATATGGTTGGTCGAAAACCCTCTATACTCGAATCAAAGAATATTCTATAACATTGCAAGATTGTAAACAAAAGGAAAGAGAGAAAGATTTATATTTAAACAAATATGAGGGTTTTTTTAATCTATTTTAAGCCCCTCAATATCTCATGTGATGTTAAGAGATACCTTCTCTTAGCCAATATTATTCTGAAGTTATCATACTTCTAACGCCAATGATTAAGGTATCATCATTTTATTATCATTTTAATTATGAGCTTATCGTACTATCATGCATCCTAACTACGACGAAGAGAGAGTTACGTTGTTGTAAGATATTCTAAATTTATTATTATTATTATTCATTAAATGAGATATTTTTGGAACCAAATTAAAGCATTAATATTTCATCTGCGGGTGTTGTGATTTTTTTGTATTGTAATCAAAAGTTACTACCGAGGACATAAAAGAGAGTAGGATCAAATGAATTGATTCGACAGATCGAACCGGAACAATTGACCGACTGTCCTTCTCCCTAATTGGAGACTGTTGTAGCCTTTGTTTTCTTGGATGAAAGCAGCTTATAGATCATTTTCTATTGTTAATAATACAGCCACAACACACCACAACAAGAGTACCACACCACGTTATCCTTCGGCTCCGAGCAAAGCGGCACTCGCAGATCTCCTTTCTTCCTTCCTTTTTGACTCACCCAACGGTGTCATGGCCCCCATTAACTTGTCTTTTCTTACACATACTTGCTCGGTGATTGGAGACGTGAGGCCATTACTGCCTGCAATAGCTATTTAGGGAGGTGGGAGAGACTTTAATTAGGAGTTAAAGACACATCGATGGCATCGTTCGAAGAGTGATGACAATTATGTAGCAAGTCCCGGTCGTCGACAAAGGCATGTGCATGGCAACTTGATGTTGATGCTAAAGCGTGTCTTTTCTGTCGCAGTATCAAAAGTCTCTGAGGAGGATTGACTATTATTAGCATTTGCAAGATCGATCACATGATTTGAGGAGACGAAGCTGTGAGGGGTATGTATCATATTTGTCGCTCGCTATGTTCCTTCATTTTGTGGTGAAGCCTTTGTTTAATTTTAGCTGAAATTTATTTTTATTTGATTATGAAAGCATCAAACCTATAAAAATTGTGTCCCATCTGATTTTTTAATTTGATATCGGTGGGAATGTACCTCAGAAATCCTTTTATAATTGATTCTGAAGATCATTACTTTCGATATCGACAATGATTATGGAGAGTAATTATGTGTTGCTCGTACGAAGAATCTAAGACGTGATAACAATCGGTTTGATTTGGTTGTGATATTGAGGTGTTGGCTCATTCAAATAACAAAAGCATGCGTCTAAAACCAATAATTCCTTATGAATTCATCCAAAACTAATAACTTATCAACTAGTACTACCAGGAGGGTCAACGAGACCTTGACTTATAAGTATAACTATCGTGAAAAATGAATAATTTCTCGTGAGTATCGTACTCTCACCTACGATAAATAGTAATTTAATCGATGTAATTCAATTATTAGATCGGAAGGGTTGAAAATTTGAAATTAACCAATTTTCGATCGGGTTATACAAACCGATCTAATTTTATAATATAACAAAAAAAAACTTAATTAACTTTAACTTAAATTATTATTATTATTATATGTTTAAGAGGGGAATTATGTCAATGATGAAATTAGGATTGACGTGAGAAGTAAACTAAAATCGAATCGAATTAGTGTAATTATCATAATGTTTTTTGTTGATTGATGTTATCATGTTATACAACAACAACAACAACAACAACAACAACAGAAGAGTATGGTGGAGAGGTGGGCAGTAGTGTAGTTGAAATCTGCAGACTCTGAACATGAACACCACCCTGAGAAAGCACCAAAGGGAAACACTGTTCTCGACAGTGGTCGTATGGGGATGCGAGGAAGGCACTAAACAGCAAGCTCATACGCATAATAACAAGTTAATATTAATGGCCTTCGGCTGTATTGAGCTCTTACAGCTGTGCCTACTACTTGAGCTCTTCACCAGTGCTGTACTGGCCGTGGACGTGGAACGCGGTCGATGGCCACCACCTATGCATTGTTTATAGTGCACGGATGGTGGGGATCTTTCTTCTTCGTTGATCTCCACATTTCCTTCTTGTCTTCCGATGAATCTAATTTCAAAGCTACGTTGTGAAGATGTCCCATGCTAGCTAGCTATAGACTCGGAGCTGAACAAGAAGAATGCGTGTTTATGGCCCCCTTGATAACGAGGGAGAAGAGCGGTACAAGCGACAATAAATGCTTAGGCTGTGTAGATCATCGATCGATTGATCGATCGATGGAGCCAACAGGGAAAGAAACCCACTCTACATCTCGAGTCTGGTGCCACAGGCGACTCATGCGCACAGCACCAGTGGACGGATGCTGGCGAGGTCATCGTCCTCCTCGCAAGCAACCTCATTTAGCCTCTATGTGGATCAATCTGAAGAAGGTAGTGACGAGAGGAGGCGACAGAGAGAGGTCGTCCTCGTCCTCGCCATCTGTTCACGGGCGACAAGGATACGTGCCCACCATAAGCTTTTAGTGGCCGCAGATGGTCCGTTTCACTGTTGTAGCCGAAGCTGCTGGGGTCATGCCATTGATCATCATCTACATCTGCTCCAGCCAAAACCAAAATGATGCATGCAGCATGCAAGAACCAGATGGAGTGGTCCAACCAAATACCCAATATACGAGGAAAACATGGAGTGCTTCTCCATCCTAACAAGTGCGACTTACTCGAACATTGGGCGGATTTGATCAGTCATATCAACGACAATACGCTGGGTGGGGAAAACAAGCACGAAGAACACGGAAACGGGACATCGGTCAAAGAAAGCACTCGCGTTCAATGTTCATCTATCTGCATTCTATTCTTAATGTTCATAACCATTAGACCGACTGCTCTGTGCCTCCTACCATTATTCTTTAATTCCAAGTCGTCGTCGTCATCCATCTGAATGAGCCCAGTCGAGCTTCGTCGGTCATCGGTCAAGACATTCATGTCTCGTACCCATCACTCCCATTTCCATGTCACTCCACTCCGGCACTCATCTGGATTCCCGGACCACTGAAAAGAAAAGATAGGCAAGGAATCCAAAAGAGGATGATTAGTTTATGGCCTATTTGCCTAATCTCCCGTGTAATTCTTCTTGTCCCAATCTGTAGTGGTTCTGCGGCCAGTGAGTTGTTCTATGACTGGCTCAAGGAATCCGAATTCGGTGTAGGTAGAGTTCTTTTGCTAAAGCCTATCATTATTATGTATGAAATTACTGTGGAAGCACACGTAGATTGCTCTGCTCAATAATAACCCTTCTAAAAGGGACAATAGAGAAGAACATGAAGAAAAGAAAGAGGACGATAGTGTGTCTAATAGTAACGACAACGATAGCAGTCAAACAACAAATTCTTAATTCACATACTCTAATTCTTAATTCAATATTTTAGATTTTTTTATTATTAAAGAAATAAATACTAAGTTGTATCGAGCTCAACACTTTTTGAGTTGAATTAAATCTTTTGAAACGGGATGATTCACATACTCATCCATGCCTAGCCTAAATCGGTATGTACCATCCATTTCATATTATTTTAGACGATACAATATTCCTTTAAATCCAAAGAAAATAATGAACGCATAATTTACAAGATTCAACACTCCTTACCGATAATGAAAATAAAAGAATAATTATTTTTACTATGATAATAATAAAAAAAAAGTATAAAGATGAACTCAAATCCATCCTCTCTAGATCAACCACCCGAAGAATCTTAAAAAGTATTTTTTCTCTTAGCACCACCTCCTATCACCGAAATCATAAGATAGTATATAGAACATCAAACCTTAATGTTCTTAATCCACTATCCTTGGAGCAATCTAGTTCTGGAAATCCAAAACTATAATGAATATGAAACACGGATGTAGGAGCCAAGCATTGGGCAGTGATAATACTGAGATGAGTCGGGCCTCATAAGAGGCCCATGGACATCATAATATCTATGTGCCCGCCCCAACAAGGCCCACATCGAAGCCCTCTTAAATTTCAAGTAGGCGCCTCGGTTTCATGAAGTTGGAGTCGGATCATTCGATCATCGGTGGAATGGGCCACTGGTTGGCGATGGAGTTCCATATCCATATGGAATTCGACTAAGGTGGTTCACCGTGGGAGGACGGAATCAGCTGCGTTCCTATGGATAGTTTCACCAAGCAGTGCCCGAGTCCACACACACACACACTGGGCACTGTCAGCATTGAGAGAGATGACAGTAATGCCAGATCCAAGCTTATCTTTCTGGCGATAACAATTTGCAGTGGCTTAAATCATGATGGAAATTGTCCACAGGTCAAGGAGGAGGAACACATCACCGTCGAATAGATCACAAAGGCCAGGCCACCAATTTCCTGCTCCTGATCGCAAGAAAACGATGCTGAACAGACGAGGAAAAAGAATTCTACCCAATTTGTCATTCGATTAAATCGTCATCTTATTTAATGCAATGCGCCAAAATATATGTACATATACACACTCGCTATACATCGAGATGAAAATTTGATCGATCTATCGAACATATATATCATCAGCTTATTTAATGCAATGCGCCAAACTGTATGTATATATATACACAGACACTACACGTCGAGACAGCAGTGCGTCGTTTGTTTCTTGGTATGGGTTGATGTCACTGTTGCCATGCGTCGTCGGTGTCCAAAGGATAGCAGGTGTCCTCAGCGCCCGTGCTCCACAGGAAATGGGCGTAGTTGGCGGTGTGGAACGGGTTGCTGGGATCCGCAGCGATGGCTTGCAAGTAGGTTTCCTCCGCGGCCGCCATGTCCTTCCTCGCCAGCCACAGGAAGCTCGCGTACTGACTCAATGCCTCGGCGTCGGCCGGCTCCAACCCCGCCGCTCTCTTGAAGTAGTATTCCGCCCTGTCACATGTCCAGAAACCAGTTTTAGTCCTCTTCATTCCGGCACTCTAGCTATCGATTACTCCACCGTCCCACAATAGAAGATTCTGCACGGATGCTGCCTATTCTGAGTAAAATGATTTCGGACTTATCAAACATTTAAGACGACTACTACTACTACTACTACTACTACTACTACTACCACCACTAGTTTGGCTACTCTCTGATGCAATTCGACGAATAGCTTCCGAGCGGGAAAAACAGAGGTAGTGTATGTACGTTGAGGAACTAATCAGGTTACCTGTCGTGATCGTGGAGCACAAGGTAGAGGAACTGAGCAAAGTTGGCAACCAGAAGAGCGTTCTCCGGGTCCTGCGACAGGGTCTGCTGGTACATAATCTCGGTCCGCAAGTATTCCGAGTAGTCGTCGGGCTCCGGCTCGGCCGTGACGGGCGACACGAGCCGCCACAGCGTCTCCTGGTCCATGAGCGCCTCGTCCCTCGTGCTCGCTTGTAACCTCGACACCTCCTCCAGTATTCCTCTCCAAACCCTCACCTCCTCTTCCGCCCTCGGCGCCGCCACCAACGCGCCATCTCCCCTTCTTCCTTCTCCACTCTCCTCGATGTCCACCACCCTTGGAGCCGTTGAAGTGCCGTCGGCGAAACTCGTCCGATACGAGAAGCGCTCGTCATCCGACCGCCCATCGCCCGTGGCCCCCGAGACCGGCTTCGCCTTCCCACCGCCGCCAGGGCCGCTCCCTCCGATGGAAGCGGTCCTCCCGATCGAAGAGAACGTCTTGATGGAGGAGCGATCGTGATGGTTCAGGTGACGACGATCTTCCACCACGACTGTCGTCTCGACTAGTGACTGTGCCGGTGGATTGGGCGCAGCCATGGCGGAGGCGTCGAGGTGGCCCATGGAGTAGACGGTGAAGTTGGCAAGGAGGAGCATGACCGAGACCATCAGGGTCGGAGTGCAGGAGAAGATCTGCTGGAAGAGCCAGACGAAGGAAGAGTTCATCTCTCGCTGGACCCGCGCGAGGATCCCCTGGAGGTCATCGCTGGAGATAAACTCCCGCATCTGGAGCGTGTAGCTCTGGAGCTCGCGGATCATGAACACCATGGAGGAGAAAGCCCGGTTCACGGAGCAGAAGGCCGACTCACTCGCCTCCCGGAACCAACCATCCTCCCACCGCTTCTTCCGCTTTATGATCCGCAGAGACAGCGGCAGCTCCACGCTGTTCGCGTTCTTCTCCACGATCGCCGGTACGATCTGGTCGAGCCAGTCCGGCGGTTCCGGCCAGACGGGGAGCCGCAACGGCTCGTGCTTCGTCGACACGCTCAGAGAAAAAGAACTAGGGCTCGAATCGGAGGACGACGCAGGCGAGACGAAAGCAGCTTCCTCGATACCCTCTTCATAGCCACCACCTCGTTGCTGTTGGAGTTCAATAGCGAACTCTTGGGGCTTCTGAATGAACAGCTCATCGTTCTCCTCCTGGTAGTCGTCACCTTCTGCCTCGAAGCGCTGGAGGCTGCTGCTGAAGGCTCGGCGCAACGCTCGCTTCTCACCTCGCCTCCTGCGAATGTCCAGCAAACGGACCCTCAACAGCTTGGCAGAGACGGCCCCGAGGAAGGGCGAGGCGAGGACGCGATCGCGGACATGGACAGCCGAACCCTGCCGCTTTCTGCAACCGAGGGACGGGCCCGCGGCAGGGAAGGCGGCGGGGGAGGGCGTCAGGGAGTTGGCGCGCGACATCCGCGACCACTGGAAGCACGTCTCGGCAGTTTGAACTGCCATCTCCGCCAGTCCTCGCCTTCCTCCCCGTAATGTCCCGAGTCACCCAATGGTAATTCAGACGGAACCTATTTGGCAACTACATAGGAAACTACAGACGCAGGCTGGCAACCAAATTCCTCTCTCCCACACAAGAAGAGTGCAGTTGCCGTCCGATTTCAGTCGAGGCTCATTTTGACCGCATGAGATATCGAAAGATCCTGCGCCGCCTCCAGTCAAGGGCCAGCTGTTGGCTCTCTCCTATATAGACATACCACCAAGTTGTTTTCTCAAGACACCAAATTCACAAACACAAGAAAAATATCCACTAGAACACACAGCACGCTGCCCCTCACCTGATCTGCATGCCCACCTCGGTCCCTGGTCTACTGTCGACCGCTCGCTACACGCGTCTATTTCCTTTCACGGGGGTTCGGTAGTTGACAGTGGCGTGGCCGTGCCCGGGGGCGCGGTTAAAACGTGAACCTGATCCACGCGTCGCTCCCAGCACGGCCGAGCCTTCGAACCGGCTTCAATGCGCGGTTGACGCGATTGCTTCGTTCCCCTCCCAACCGTGCAAATTCGTAAAAGGCAGTGCTATTTGGCTGCAAGCGACATCCGTGCTACTTCCACTCGTCGGAGCATGTCGACCTGTTAACACGGTCATGTTATTTAAAGGATTATACAGTAAGCATATTCAACAAATTGAAGGATTACTTTTCGCAGAAACGCGCACAATCCGACCGTCCATTTTTGTCATGATTTCCTGCTATGGATTGCTTATCATTTATTAAATTTTACATTTGGCTGAATCAATCAATATATTGTTTTCATGCGCAACAGCCAATGAGATAAAAAAATATCTGATGACCCAATGGGGAGAGAGAGAGAGAGAGAGAGAGAGAGAGAGAGAGAGAGAGAGAGAGGAGGAGGAGAGAGTACGTA